CAAGCGTGCTCTCTTTCAAAATAATAAATAAATTTTTAAAAAATAATAGAAGTTAAAAATAGAAGTTAATACAAGGCTCTTTCACATCTACTCTTAGGTAGTGAAGGGGCAACGGACAGTCAGCTGGATTTGAAAGTCGTTTCTGAGATTGTGGGAGTACTACTAGTATGTGAACGAATACTGGAGATGGCTCCCGGCTCTCTTTTGGGTAGCAGGCTGGAAGTGTGGGCAAGATAGACTCTAGAGGAGGGAGGTCAGGTTTGTACAGAATGGAAATGGGTTCAGTTTTGACAGGTTCATTTTTCACTGTCTCTAGGACATGCGTCAGCAGGCTAAATGGATGTCTAGCCGTGACTTGGATGCACAGGTCTAGAAATCAGGAGACCTACCTTCCACTGTTTGATATATAACCTATGTAATAATCATTTACATTTATAGAATACATAATATAGCAAATGACAAATCAGTTACTAAGGTTTTTTTTTTTTAATTATTTATTGGGGCACCTGGGTGGCTCAGTAGGTTAATCAACCAATTCTTTTTTCCAGGTTTTAAAACTTATTTGCATATTAAAAACTGTGCATTCCAATAATTAAACTCATTAGAAAAAAATGGCACTCTGATTAAACTGCACTTTACAGCCTGCAGTACACCTTGGACCAGCGTGGCTTTTCCTCTAGACTTCTCTGTCATCCCACCCAGCTTCTCCCTTCACCAACATGCAAGTTCTTTTCCTTTGCTGCCAGGCATACAGCAGATGGAACGGCAGGCACCTTCATTTGTCAGTAGTTCTCGATTCTTTGATGTGACAAGGGGCAGCACAGTCATTTAAACTTGATCCAACCTCTTTGCAGCTTTTAACAAAGTTAAACAGCTAAAAGAAGTAAAATAAGAAGACAATGCTTCTGGAAAGTACAGTGCATATTGGTGGCACACACCTCATTACGATTCGCCTGCTTGCTTCTCCTGTTCAATCATTTCTTTTGAAGGCAGTGGATTTTTCCCTTGGGTTTCTGTCTTCTTCAATTTCCACTTAATTAAATTTCTCAATCTCAGTCATATCGGGTTTATCAGACATGGCTGTAGAGGAAGCGGAGCGAGTGAACGAGCAAGCGAAGTCCAATCTGTGCAGTGGCCTCTGCTGAGTGCCCAAGCCATCAATTCTTGATTTCAGCTCAGGTCATGATCTCATTGTTCCTGAGATGGAGTTTTGCCTTGGGCTCTGTACTGAGAGTGAGGATTAGGATTCTCTCTCTCACTCTCTCACTCTCTCTCTCTCTCTCTCGCTCTCACTCTCTCTGACACACTCTCGTACTCTCTCTCAAAATAAACATTTTTAAATTTTTAAATAAATAAAATAAAAAGTTATTTGTTATTAGTTTACCTACTGTATACATCATGGCATTAGTAAGCCATGAAGCTCTCAATTCAATGATCATCCCCAGGTTACAGAAATCAGGAGCAATACCTTGAATGGAAACTGCCTTATTCATAAGCAAAGGGTTTCCTCTGTATTGATTCTACAACTGCAGCTTCTATAAATGGATTTTTCTTAAGAAAGTTTCATTCCAACTAAGCTAAAACTTTCTGTAATCACTTTATTTCCTCTGAGCTTCCTTTCCAAATATCTTATAAAAATAAGAATCATGTCCCAAATTACTAAGCAAATCTTTCTTGTTTAAGGGAATTTTCCATTGTTCTCTGTAATATTTATTGCTGCAAAACAGATTACCCCAAAATTTAGTGGTTTAAAACAATACGCATTTATTATTTCACAGGTTTCAGGGGTCAGGAATTTAGGTCCTCTCCTTCAGGGTATCTCATAAGTCTTCAATCAAGGTGTTGGCCAGGGATAAGGTCCCGTCTAAAAGCTCAACTGGGACAGGACTGACTTCCAAACTTAAACAATAGGTCTCAGTTCTTCACTGGCTGTTGGCTAGAGGTCATGTTCAGTTCTTTACCATATAGGGCCCTCCTAAATGACAGTTTGCTCTATCAAGGAGTGCAAGCCAAAAATGCAAGAGAGTGTCTGCTAGCAAGACAAAAGTCACAATCTTTTGTAACCTACTTACAGAAATGACATTTCATCAACTTTGTTTTATTGGTTAGAAAAAGTCACTAAGTCCAGCCCACACTCAAGGGGAAGGGATCACACAAGGGCATGAATACCAGGAGGTGAGATCACTGAGACCATCTTAGAAGTCTGCCTACCATATTCACTAATATTTACCAATCTTAAGGTCAAGAAAAAAAGAACAGTTAACTCCAATAACTGCTAATTTTTCTGTATACAGTTATATGATGTTATACATGTCTAGGCCCTTGGTTGGTTTCTCATTGAAAGTAACTAATCATTAAAGCTTTTGCTTAGTGCTTCACAGAACACTATATAATATGTACTCTAGAAGGTCAGGAAATACATACTGATGGACAAAAATAGAACAACGTATGAAATAAAAAGTGTGATTTTGTCTAAAGTTACTTGGAAACTCCACTGGAGACTTTTTAAAATGTGCTTCGTAGCACTATTCTTCCAAAAGTGCCTTTTTTTTTTTCTTTTTTTGCCCAAGAGTGCCTCTTAAAATGATTCTCATGACTTCACAACATTTTTTTTTACAAATAAAAATCTACCAACATCTGTCAAAATGTAAATCTTAGAGTACTTCATACTGAATGTACAAATGTGTCACTGAAGACAAGTATTTCTTGTAGTCTGCCAAATTTCTGCCACATTGGAAGATACACAGATGACTGTTTAACACTGTGTGCCACTAGACAGGAATTATATTTCACATCTTCTCCTTTTTTTTAAGCTTACTTATTCCGAGAGAGTGCCCATGCGCATGGGGGAGGCGTAAGGAGACAGAGAATCCCAGGCAGGCTCCTCCCTGTCCACGAAGAGCCCAGCTCGTCTGGAACTCACAACCCAGGACTCGAGCTGAAATCAAGAGTTGGACACTTAACCAACTGAGGCACCTAGGCGCCCCTATAGCTTTTTATTCTTTAGGCACCCCTCCTCCTCAAACTCTTTCCCCCGTATCTGAATCTAAATTGTTAGTTTCTGAATCACTGAATTATTATTTCTTCTCAGAACAAATCTCATCTCTGATGACTCTGACATCTTAACCAGCTCTGCTTCTCTCTTCCATCCAAACTACTTGGCCTAGTTATTGACTTATTTCTCTTTTCCTTACCTTCCCCCGCACAACCATTTATGACCTCATGGTTTCGATGATGCGTTCTATCCTGGAAACTGTTAAACCTATCTCACTTCACACTTAACATGTATAAACCAAAGTCATCTACTTCCTGTCAAAAACTTGCCACCTCTCCTCTTTCTCCATCACCATTCCTCTATCCCAGCGAATTCCCCGGAAGTATCTTCAACTTCTTCCTCCCTTTATCCTACCAATCTCTGTTAAATCACGTTTCAAGATGCCTCCTGAATTTGTTCATTCCTTGCCATTTCCTTTGCCTTCAACCTAATCCAGGCTGAAACTGCCTCACAACTGGACTTTAGCAACAATGTCCTGAATGGGATAAGGGTTCATCTGTCCATATCCCCCATCCTTCCTTCTACGTTACTCTTAACTGGAACAGTCAATGAGATATACGTAAGGGGACTTCAGCTTGCAATCAGGAGCCTCAGGGTAAATCCCCTCTCTGTCACCTCAGATATGACCTGTAGCCTATTTCTTTCCTTCCTCTCGGCCTGGGAGGTTCCTTGTCTGCAAAATGACAAGTTGGGACAGTCCACATGGGTTCCAAGTTGCCGTGCAACTCCAACAATCGCCTACTCTGATGCTTCTTTGCTCAAGAAACAGAAATAACAACTTTCCACTGTTCTCCACACTGACACCACTGATACCTCTACCCCCAACCCACCAAGACCCCAAATGTTACTGTCTTCCGGCATGCAGTGTTCCTTACATCCAGTTTGCTCAATTTACCACATCCCTAATGAGTCCCAGTCTTTCCACTGTAACTGTCAATTCTGTGTTCTATTCTTCTCCTTCATTTATAAATTATTCATTTCACAAACACTTTATAGAGTGACTGCTAATAGAAAAGGCACTTTTTGCTAGGTCCTGGAAATAGTGAAGTTAAGGACATAATCCTTGCCCTCAAAGAATTTACCATCTTATTGGATACAATGGATAAGTAACAAAATATAGTAATGTGTTCAATGCTATGCTAAGGAATTTAATACATCCTAGTTGTTCGGGGGACACAGAAGAGCAACACTTCACAAGGCCGAGTACATAGGAAAGCTTCAGAAAGGAGGTGCTCATTCCAGGCTGGGTCCTTGGAACTCAAAAGGGAAAATACGAATTGAGGAGGTAATAAAAACACTTCTAAAAACTTGGAAAGAATTAAGAAGGAAATAAAGCGTGTCCTGTTGCTTCCTTGAAAAGCGATGAGAAGAGGGTAAATTGCTTTTAAAACAGGGCATATTGGGCCAAGTGTCAAATCAGACTACCGGCTCGAGGGGGCAAGCAGCGGTGAGGCTGGTCACGACGAACGGAGTGGACCGTCACCCTGAAGACCCTTCCCCTTGAGGAGAGGGCGGGGAGTGTGGGCTCTACTTTGCTTCCGGAAATTTCCTGCTCCGTCGCTGGGAAAAGGCGGTGACTGGGCCCGAAACGCGTAAAGCCGACAGGACGGTCCAGGAAGGGGAAACGCGGCGCGCCAAAACTTGTCCTGGCTACTGTTCGGTTCACTAAACCGCCATTATGCCCGATGCCTCACGACCTCACCGAGTTAACCCGCTCCAGTCGGACCCCATCTAGTCGCCGTCGACCTGGGGCCGCCGCGTCACGGAGAGGCCGGCAGCACAGCGGCCAGCGCCGGTCACAGCGCGGGACGCTCCCACACCTCGCGCGAGATTTCCCGGAAGCCGCTGCCGCAGCAGGAGCGTCGGGTCGCCTAGCAACCGCTCCGCGGCTGTGGAGGAATCCGGCGCTGAGGAGACTCGGTTCCTCCCGCGGGAGGAGAGGTGCCTGCAGGGAAGAGGCGTGGGAACCGAGGGACCCACAGAGCCGCGTTTCTCAAACTTGTCTGCCAGTAAGTAAGACCTTCCCGGGCTACTGGTTAAAACGAGGACCCCTGGGCCGCATCTCCGGAAGTCTGTGTTTCCGACGGAGAGCGGGCGTCCGGCAAGGCTGCGGCCGGCGGCGGAGGCGCCGCGGGCCCGGAGCCGCATCTGCGCGCGCAGCCCCGTTGGTCGAGGCGAAGCCCGAGGCCGCGGTTCTGAGCTTTCTGAGAATTCGGAGGCGGTCCTGAGCCTTCGGAAGCCAGGGCCTGGGCTCGCTGCGGGAAACGCACGAACCAAACTCGGAAGCACCTTCCGTGGGCGGGTCGCCTGTGGGAGCCCCAGAGGATCGTTCAAGCCAAGGGGCCCACCCCACTGGGTTCCCAGAGCCTGGAAAGCAGCTCTAAACCGTCTCCCACAGGCAATCCAGATAGACATGTACTAGCAGGGGGAACCCTGAGATAACAGGTATCTAGTAGGGAAAAATTATGAAAAAGTAGTTTTTCAAACTTTAGAAAATAATGAACCTCTTTTAAGCAAAGCAAGGACACCCCACAAGTGCTGACATAATTTCTTTTGTTATAATGTTCTAAAATGAATCCAAATCCAAACTAGGTTCAATTTAAACAGCTGAAGCTTAATAATAGATCTAAAACAAACTACAATACCAATAAAGTTTAAATTACTGTTACATTAACAAGATGAATGGTGGTGTTTTGATGAAACTAAATCTTCTTGCGGATATGACTGCTACAATGCAGGTTCTTTTAAGTGTCTATTATTGTGTGCTATGGGTTGATTAAATTATTTCCCTTTCCATATTCAAGCCCCTGGAATGTTTTCTTATAGCTTGTTGATGGGGTCCATTGCCCTTACCCTGGATTAATAAATATTTCATTTCTATACCACATTTGGCCTCTTTACTTTCTTAATCATCTGAGAAAATCAAATTTAATTCTATACAAGCACCACTTTGTGCCCTGGAACCTAGAGCCAAAATGCATGTATAGTGTGGTCATTCGTGAGGATTCAGATGATCCAAAATTTCTCTGTTTTAGCCCAGGTTAGAAACAGAGCCTGAAGCAAAAATTCATACGATAACACTTTTGGTGGGGTTGCAACTTCAGGGAAGCAGGACAGAAAGGAAAAAGGAGTAAGAGATGGGAGGACAACACAACCCAGTATGTAACCCAAGAGAGCAGAGCTGTTTTCGGGAGGCCTTGGGACATGGCCCTCTCTCCTAGAAGTGCGTGGGGGAAAGAAGGGAGAATGAATCATGTGGCCACTGTCTCCCACATGTAAAATTTACCCCCACAAGGCATCACCCCATCACAGTACAGGCTTGCTCCTACATACATAGCCACTTGTATGGCAGTTTCGGCCCCGGCCGTGAGAGAGAAATCCTGGGGTGTAAACTACTTTAAGATGTGCGTTTTCACCAGTTATCGGTGTAAACATGATACTTGAAATTTCCAGAAAAAGTTCTAAAATTTTAAAATATGGGCTAACTGGTGAGGCACACATACCACAGTGATGGAAAAGAAGGCTCAATATTAGAGACCTGTTACGAATTCAGTGCAATTCCTAACAAAATCCTGATAGGCTTTTTCATGGAACATAACAAGTTGATTTTTTTTTTAAGGTTTTTTTTGGTGAGTGTGTGTGTGTGTGTGTGTGTATGTGTGTGTGTTTTAAGAGAAAGAGAGAGAGAGAGAGCGAGCAAGCACGATGGCACAAGCAGGGAAGGGGCAGAGTGGGAGGGAGAGAAAGAAAATCCCAAGCAGGCCCCACACTGTCAGCACAGAGCCTGATACAGGGCTCGATCCCATGAAAGCGTGAGATTGTGACCTGATCCAAAACCAAGAGTCAATCAGTTGAGCCACCCAGGCACCCCGGCAAGTTGATTTTTAAAATGTATATGAAAGAGTTAAGGAGGAGAGGCTTCTGGGAACATGGCAGAGTAGGAAGCCTCTGTGTCCCCACCAAGACAACAGATGCACTGGCAGACTCTGTTTGGAAGCTGAAGTCTACTGAAGGCTAACTTCCAGGAGAAGGATTAGACAATAAAGTGCAATAAATTTTGGTCAGTTTCAGTTCTACAGCAACTATTCATCCCCTGCACACAACCATGTAGCAGGGTTTCTAGAGTACCTTACATGTAGCTTGCAGAAGCCAAAATGGGCAAAAACATACTAGCCACCAAATATCAAGGATCTGTCCTCTGAGCACTGATTGCTGCTTGTGATCACAGTAAAGCAGACAAAATGTGCAAAGCAAAGCAAAATTAAACATGTTTACAAGAAGAAAGAAAAAGGTCTTTCTCTTAAATGTGGATAGGGAAAGGGTTACTAAATAAGCCACAAAAAGCATAAAATATGAGCAAAAAAATGGTACATCTGACTACATGAACGATATATAGCTTCTGTTTTTTAGAAGATGCCATTAAACACAAACTAAGGGGAAAATGGAGAAAAGACAAACTAAAGTCAGGGAACAGATACTTGCTACATGTATAATCAACAAAATATTGGTATCTGATAAAAATATAAATGTATCTAAAAATTACTTATAGAGGTGTCTGGGTGGCTCGGTCGGTTAAGCATCAACTCTCGATTTCAGCTCAGGTCAGGATCTCGAGGTTAATGAGTTTAAGCCCCACATTGGGCTCTGCACTGATGTGTGGAGCCTTCTTGGGATTCTCTCTCTTTCCCTCTCTCTCTCTGCCCCTCCCCTTGCTCTCACTCTCTCAAAAAAATAAACTTAAAAAAAAAGAGAGGACACAGAAAAAGTTACAGAGGGGATACAAATGTATTTATAACTTTTTCTATTTAAGATGACCTGTAGGTCCATGAGTGTGGGTATTATTCTTTAAACTTTCATCATGAAATATTCTTAAGGCAATATTAATAAAAGTTATTTTTACTTAACTAGAAACGTTGCTCAGAATATTACTGTCATGTTTGAAATTTGATCCATAAACAATAATCTTAAATTTTTGTTATAATGAATTCATGCAAATTTCAAAATCTACAAAAATTCAGTAATTTTATTCTACAAATTACATTTTGCATTTTAAAAACTAAGGATTCGGTCACTATCTTCAAATATTTTATTGTGGGCATTTTATATAATATAGCCTGGGTAGTTATGTCAATGTATGATAATGCACATTGAATTTCTCTTCTACTGAATTCATTTTCCTCCTGAGCATTGATTTCATGTCCAGAATACTATACAAACTGAGGTTCTTGGTTGGTAAAATTCCAGATATATTAGAATAAGAATGCTCAGTTTTAAACTATAATTTTTAATTATTTTTTTAACGTTTTATTTATTTCTGAGAGAGAGAGACAGCATGAGAAGGGGAGGGTCAGAGAGAGAGGGAGACAGAATCTGAAACAAGCTCCAGGCTCTGAACTAGCTGTCAGCACAGAGCCCGACGTGGGGCTCGAACCCATGAACCGTGAGATCATGACCTGAGCCGAAGTAGGACACCCAACCGACTAACCCACCCAGGCTCCCCTAAACTATGTTTTTAAAAAACAATAAATTTTACAAAACTGTGGTATTTATCACAGTTTTGTGATGGTTGGAAAAAAATGGGTTGCTTCAAACTTATGGACCACATATGGATCTCTCACATAAAGCAATAATTAATTAATTAATTCTTTTCCCATTACTTAACAGCGCTAATATACTCCAGGTCAAACAGTGAAGTAAACAGTATTCACCTTATCTCTGAACAAAACAATAAAGCAAAAATGGTGATAGCAAACATTTGTTGATCTATGTACCAGGCACTGTGCAGAATATTCTATACTTTTTTATCTCATATAATCTTCACAATATCCCTAGGAAGTAGGTACTATTATTATCCTAATTTTATAAGAAACGGAGGTAACACAGCCTCCTGGTGCTTATGAGGCTGTGTTCTTATACTGTATAGAAGAGGAGACAGAGTAAACTCATCCATATACACCTCAGCCCAGGCACTTTGCCTGGTTTGCACTGTGAATGGGGAACATGGGGGGAAAGAGAAACTGATGTAACATGCCCAAGATCGCCTAACCAGTGAGCAGTGGTACCAAAGTGTGAACCCAGGCAGTCTGGATTGAGAAACACTACATCGTGTTGCCTCTTTGTGGATTGCAGCTATAACAATTTTCAAGGCCAACACCATTTTCAAGTATTTTGCACCACTGTCCTATGTGCATACTTAAGGTTTTTTTACACCATGTGTTCTGATTTGAGGATTTAGAAAATATGATTACCATGGGTACAATGGAAAAAGGAGCCAGAAGAACATTCTGGTCTCATTCTCAACTTTCACTAGCGTAAGTAGAGACCTACCTCTGGGCCTTCATGTGAAAACATCAGATGATATTCCTTGACGAAAAAAATCCTTTAAAAGATGCCTACAGTAACAACTCAATACTAGGGAGAGGAAAAGATTAAAAGTAGAAATGAATGAGCATTGTATATTTGATTAATTTTGTTTTTTTTTAATCTGTTTTTAAGAATTAAGTCTGTAAACTTAGAAAATGCCTTTTAAAATATCTCTGAAGTAGCTTATCAAATAATTTCCATAAGAAAATTAAAAAGGAAGTCAATTTTTCCTAAATTGCCACGTACATAATGCCCCCTTTTTTTTCTTTTATTTTTAGAAAGTTGAGAATAAAACAATACCTAAACCTGCTTCCTGACATGGTAACAGAACAGAGCTACTGCTGAGGTTTGACTTATAGAGAAATCATGGTTCGACTAACCTTGGATCTAATTGCCAAATATAACAATCTTAAACCCCGAAAAGAAGAAACCACTTCACGATACCTGAGGAAAATAACTCATATAAATTTTTCAAACAAAAATATAGATGCAATTGTAAGAATTCTAAATTTTCTATTTTTACATAATTAACAATGTAAAGTTTAGAAGCTGGTGTCAGAAAATATGTCCTTATTAACTGTATTTTGATATTTGTTAACTGTATTTTGATTAGTCAGCTATATACTGTTTTCATTTTAATTTCCTGCTTATGATGTTAAAATTATTAGAACTAAATCTCTATAAAACATACCATTGTGATTGTTAAATCTATGTGCTAAATATATATATATGCACACATATATATCTATGTATATATCCCTGAAATACTCTATAGTGTAGCAAACTAGACTTGAAAGTGTTATGTTGGAAAACAATTTCAAAGGTAATACTTTTGTATAATTCCAGATCCTTGGACTATGAGTTTTTTTTTAAACATATCAAGTAGTAAGAATGAACTATATGAATACCACATTTTAAAACTTTAACAGTGAAATCTTTTTCACACATAATTTAACCAATTATATAAATGTTGGTTATACTGCCATTTATATCAGACCAGACTGCTTACTTGGATATACTCTGACACTGTATTTTCTCTGTGTTAAGTTGGCCTTAATGTTGGAAACTTTAAAGGGAGCAATAATCCTTTTAGGCCATTTGTATTGGTGTCTATTGTCTACAATAAAATGCTAAAGACTACAGATGAGAGAAATTTTCTCAGAAACACAGGTACGTGAAGGCAGGGATGATGTCTGTTTTGTTCATATCACTCTAAATCCCCCATCCAACACAGTGCCTAACCCATATTAAGTGCTTAATAAATGTTTATCAAATGAATGAAAAAAATACCAAAGCCCCAGGCACAAGTGTCAATTAAGACTTTTTTTTTTTTTTTTGCAGACTCTACCAAGTTCCTATTCTGTATTTCTTTCCAGTTTTTTTAGTGAATTCTTCTCCCCATGAATCCAGTTGCCCAGAAAACTCTCTACCTTATTACACCATTAACACACATTACAGGCAATTATACATTGCCCTCTGCAGACAGCCTCCATTTAATGTTCTTTTGTCCTGTCACAATTAGTGCTTCTTTGATGTAGATGACCCTTGTTAGGAGAAAAGCAAACTAAGTACAGTTGACCCTAGAAAAATATGAGGGTTAGGGACACAAACTCCCCCATACTCCTCAACACCCTGCCACCCAACATAATTAAAAACCCTTGTATAACTTTTAATTCCCAAAAAACTTAACTACTAATGGCCTACTGTTGACCAGAAATCTTGATAACGAACTCAATTAACATATTTTGTACGTTATATGTATTATATACTGTATTCTTACAATAAACTAGAGAAAAAATGTTACTACGAAAATCATAGGAAGATAAAATACATTACAGTACTATATAGCATTTATCAGAAAAAAATCCATGTATAAGTGGACCCATGCAGTTCAAATCCATGTTGTTCAAGGGCCAATTATATATAATTTACACTAAGATAAGAATAACTTATAAAGTGCCTAAGATGTCATTATGTTTTAAAAGATCTTGTTAATAAAAGCTGAGATTTTTTAAGGTTTTATTGTTTTAGAATAATCCCTATATCCAACATGGGGCTTGAATTTACACCCCCAAAATCAAGAGTTGCATGTTACACTGACAGTGCCAGCCAGGCATCCCAAGCTGAGGTATTTTGAGTATTCTTCACTCTAGCTCTTGCATACTTACTATAGGCTGACTCTACTACCACATAAGAAATGGCAGACTTTTAAAAATACCTTTAATTATTTTCTTATCTCAAAAGTAACTGATGATGTTCATTTCTATAAATAGATATAAAAAGAAAAAAACTGACTTGTAGTAATATCATGCAGAGAAAACCACTATTAACATGCAGGTGCTGTCCTTACAGTCTTTTTTCTAGGCATGTATTCATGTAGTTTTATAATAGTGGGTCAATTGAATGTACTGTTTTCATTTTGAGATCTATAAAATATTACTAAAGAAATTAAAGAATATTTAATGGTTAAACAGCATTCGTTTCAATAGCATCATCATAGTTTATTCATCTATTATTCTTGAATATCTATATGACTTACCATTTTCAGTATTATAAATAAGTTTACTTCTAATCCCACAGAAAGATTAAGCCCTGATTTATAATGTTGAAACATTAATTTGTTAAATGCTTCAATGCTTCCAGAGAAACCTAACTGCTTCCAAGAAAAGACGCTTGCTCTCGGAAAATCCTTAACCAATACAATTTTACTGATACAGTTACAGAATACTAAAACCTAGAACTAATTTTATAATCATTCTAGTCTTCTTTTTACTGTGCGAATAAGAACAGAGATACACTATTATATCTTAAGGAAATTTGCAGAAAGTAGAAAACTTTCTTAAAAACAAACTTCTAAGTTTCCAGGAGACTAAGTATGACCTGTTTTTGTTTTCCTTTTAGGAAGACCTCTCTCCTTGCAAAAATCTGAGTGTTTTATATTTGTATGATAACCGCATTAGTGAAATCACTAACCTGAATTATGCTACAAATCTGACCCATCTGTACCTACAAAACAATTCTATTTCATGTATAGAGAACCTCAGGTCACTAAAGAAACTGGAAAAACTGTAAGTGCTTTTTTTTTTAATGTTATAGTTGGAAATCTGTTTATTAAGCCTGATATGCTTTTATTTTGCAGGAGAGTGAGTTGTCTTAACCACTTATAAGGGTACCTAAAGCATCCTTAAAGGCTCAACTGGTGAAAAAAGTTTCCAAGGAAAATTTCCATGAAAACTTTTTGATTTTGATTTTCCATGAAAACCAAATGAACCCTGTGCCTTTCAGAATCACACACCTCAAAGGGCAGGGTCAGAGAGTTGATAATGTTGATTTAGGTTCGAGTGTAAAAAGGCATTTACTAGCTATAATGATTTTAATTCAATGATGAAGCCTGGTGGATTCAATTTTCCCAGGCTGGAAGAGCTATCAGTGCTTCTCAAAAAGTAGCCAATAACCTCAAACTAGGAAGAAGATGAGGGAAACGCTTATTAAAAACGCAGATGGCAGGGCGCCTAGGTGGCTCAGTCGGTTGAGTGTCTGACTTCATGATCTCACAGCGGTTCGTGAGTTTGATCCCCACATCAGGCTCACTGCTGTCAGTGCAGAGCCTGCTTCAGATCCTCTGTTCCCCTTACTGCCCCTCCCCTGCTCATACTCTCTCTGTCTCTGTCTGTCTGTCTCTCAAAAATGAATAAACGTTTTTAAAAATGCAGATTTCTGGGTTCTGACCTAGATAGAAAAATGAGAAACTCTAGGGCTAGGCCCAAAAATATTATTAAAAAAAAAAGTTTACTTATTTATTTTGAGAGAGCGAGAATGAGAGACCCAAAGAGGAGCAGAGAGAGAGGGGGAGAGGAAAAAATCCCAAGTAGGTTCTGCACCGTCAGCACAAAAGCCCAACATGGGGCTCAAACTCTAGAACTGTGAGATCATGACCTGAGCCAAAATCAAGAGTCAGATACTTAACCAACTGAGCCACCCAAGCGGCCCTAAAAATCTTCATTTTTAAACCTACTACTCAGATGATTCTTATGTGCCCTAACATATAAAAAGAGCATTGGTAGATCATTTAATAAGGACCATTCGATATCTCTCACTTTAATTTAAAAAAAAAACTTATTTCTCAGAGTAAATTAAGTATAAAATCATATAAATCTTTCATTGATTCATTGTAAAGAAAAAATTCTGCATATTTCTGCATACTGTGTATAACTTTCACACAGCTCAGTGATCGTTACTACGTTTTTATCATGTTTACAGACCATAATGTTCTCAGGATGTCTATTTAAAATTGTTTTATATTGAGGTGCCTCGGTGACTCACTCAGTTGAGCAGTTGAGCCTCTCACTCTTGATTTTGGCTCAGGTCATAGTCCCAGTGTCATGGGATCAAGCCTTGCACTGGGCCCCGCATCAGGCTCCAGGCTGAGCATGGAGCCTGCTTGAGATTCTCTCTCTCTCTCTCTCTCTCTCTCTCTCTCTCTCTCTCACCCCCTCCCTCTCCGTCTCCCTCCCTCCCTCCCTCTCTCCCTCTGCACTCTTCCTTGCTCACATCCTCTTTCTCTATCTTTAAAATAAAAAAATAAGTTAAACTGTTTTATATTTTGCAGGTATCTGGGAGGCAATTACATTGCTGTCATAGAAGGTTTAGAAGGATTAGAAGGACTAAGAGAGCTTCATGTTGAGAGTCAGAAGCTTCCCCTTGGAGAAAAGCTTCTGTTTGATCCAAGAACTCTTCATTCTCTGGCAGTAAGCCCACATTTGAGTATTCTGACAAAGAATATAGTGATTATCAGTTATAACGGAACAGGAAGGTGGCAAAGGTATATTTGGACATTATACATACTATGTATGTGTATATGGCCAGTTAAGAATTTATTTGAGGACTAAAACTAACTTTTCTCACATAATTTCTCTAAGACTCAGCAGCTATAAAGTTGGGATAATAATGCCTGCCTCTAGGGTACTAAAAGGATCAAAAGAAGGATGTGAAAAAGTTATGAAAATTATCAATTTCTAATCTAGATGTCAATTCATTCCTAATTTCAACCTTGGTGATTATCATGATTCAAAATTTTAAATTTTAGGAAAAAGCTTAAGGAAAGAATAATGGATAATTATTTGGTAAAATTTAAACAACCTAGAGAAAAATGTTGATGATAAATTGTCTCCTCGCTGGATTCTGATTTGATTGTAGACTGCATTACATATGATGACTCTGCCTCATCAAAAAGTAGATCTCGGAGGACCAGATTTGATGCTCTAGTTGTGACCCGACACCCAAATACATTGTGGAGGTGTCACAATTAGTTGAGAAGCCAGAGGGCGCAATGGAGGCTTTTGCTAATTCTCAAAAATGGGATTTGTTAGGATACACTCCCTTCAATTTTAGAGCAAGAGACCTAAAGTGAACATGGCTATATTTATAATTTCATTGGTTTTATTTCAAAAGGCGTAGAAATAGAATTCAAGAGGTTTGTGAACCAAATTTATAACAATTGAAAAACAGTGCTTTAAACAGAAAAAGAAGTGATCTGATTTCTATCCCACCCCTTCCCCATAGAATCTGCTGTGTCTCAGTTGACCCAAACAGACTGTTCTCACTGTGAGGATGACCAGTTTTATTATGAAATGCCACTAAAAACATTTTTGCTTGCTCAATTTTTATATAGATTCAAGCAGATTCCATAATTTTTAAAGCTGTATTTAAAGTCTTTAAAAGTATCAAGAAGTATTTTCTCTAAATGTTGCCTATATGGATGCCTTGGTGGGTAGAAACAATCTTGGTAGAGTTTACTGGGCCATAGATTTTAAGATGGCTTTGGACTATTGCTGCTCTATTGTGTATTTACGTCCTCACTAACAGCTGATGTTGATACCTCTTGTTAATTAGCTAGTTATTATTTTAAGTACCTCTGAACATGTGGATTATTAAGAGGAAACTAGAGGGAGAGAGAGAATTAAAAACCAGATATTCTTTCATTCTTATGTATCAAATTCTTATTTTTGAATTTGATGGTTTGCTTAAACTGAAATAAGCATTTTTCTACAGTGTGTTAACATTTGTTTGTTGGGGCATCTTTTTTTATATATATAATTTATTGTCAAATTAGTTTCCATACGACACCCAGTGCTCATCCCAAGAAGTGCCCTCCTCAATGCCCATCACCCACTTTCTCCTCTCTCCCGCCTTCCAGCAACCCTCAATTTGTTCTCAGTATTTAAGAGTCTCTTATGGTTTGCCTCCCTCCCTGTCTGTAACTTTTCCCCCCATCCGCTCCCCCATGGCCTTCTGTTGAGTTTCTCAAGATCCCCATATGAGTGAAAACACATGGTGCCTGTCTTTCTCACTGACTTATTTCGCTCAGCATAATACCCTCCAGTGCTATCCACGTTGCTACAAATGGCCAGATTTCATTCTTTTTCATTGCCAGGTAGCATTCCATTGGATATATAAACCACATTTTCTTTATCCATTCGTCAGTTGATGGACATTTGGGCTCTTTCCATTCTTTGGCTATTGTTGATAGTGCTGCTATACACATTGGGGTGCATACGCCCCTATGCCTCGGCACCGCTGGATCCCTTGGGTAAATTCCTGGCAGTGCTATTGCTGGGTCCTAGGGTAGATTTATTGTTAATTTTTTGAGGAACCTCCACACTGTTTTTCAGAGCGGCTGTACCAGTTTGCATTCCCACCAACAGTGTAAAAGGGTTGTTGGGGCATATTTTTTCTTTGTTTTTTGATTCCTGGCTTCTTTTTTCTATGAATATCTTTTATATTCTGGAAAGGGAAAGTCAGACTTATGAAGCAATTAGACAAAAATAGTAAGTCATATCGCAATTACTAAAGTCTTAAAATTATGTCCGAAAAAAATATGGCATAGAAACAAAATCTCCATGGATTTTAATTTTATAGCTTAAAGAGCAAAACAGCCTGAACTGATAAATCTTAAATTTTTCACAGATTAAGATTTCTGGTTCCTATATATAGTATTTAAATAGACTATTTACTAATGCTAATTTATTTTTCTTACAGAAATCCCTCTCCATATTGAATATCAGCAATAATAATATTGATGACATAAGGGACTTAGAAATACTGGAGAATCTTAATCAGCTCATAGCAGTTGACAACCAACTTCTGCATGTGAAGGTAGTGTACAGAAAAATTAGTTAAAAAATATTTACATGAAATTGTGATTAAGTCTTTTTTAAAATATCCATAAAATTTATTACTTTAAAAACTATCCTAGATTTACTTTAAAACTAGCTTTTGAATCTCTACTTCTTAATGTATTTATTTGCATAATTCTGCCCTGTTACCTGGTTTTCTCTTCCGTACCCCAGTGCCTCCACCCCTCGCCAAGAGAAAGAAGTTTCTCTGAGAAGGAAGTATGGGCTTTTACTCTCTGTATTATTTTTCCAGCAAATGTTTCCCTCTAGAGACTAGATTTCTTGCCACCTATCTGTGATTGCCCAATGAATGAATTTCTAGTAACTGTGGTTAGATCTAAACTCTCTCCTGGCTGCTCCTCCTTGGTGAAGTACCTGGAACTTACTCTACTTTTCACTAGCTATATTCATGTCATGTTAGGTCATATCATCCCATATTCATTCAGTTATTTATACATTCACATCACACTGAGCACCTACATGTCTGCCAGGCACTGTACCCTTCTGTGTAGATCAGAGGAAGGAAGGATATAGTTGGGGGCTCAAAAAACCTACAGTCAACAAGTAATGAGGCTACAATGTGAGTCTGTTTTCATAAGTATTGTGGTGGCACTAACTCAGCTTGGAGTTAGGGAAGACTTCCTGGAAACAGTCGTCTGTAAGCTGAGCCACTGCCATGACCTCACAGTTTCTGATTTGGCAATGAGATGGCCTGTGGTATAATTTCTTTACATGATGCGACAGGAAGAATAAAGAGCTTCTTTCCCCCATAAACAGAGCTCTTGTTTTCAAAACTACTTCCAGACAGCTATCCACTGACCTTAAAAAGGTTTTCCCTGGGGAGCCTGTGTGGCTCAGTCTGTTAGGCGTCCAACTCTTGATTTCAGCTCAGGTCGTGATCTCACGGTTAATGAGTCTGTGCCCGGCGCATGGCCTTGCACTGACAGTGTGGAGCCTGCGTGGGATTCTCTCTCCCCTTTCTCTCTGCCCTCCCCTGCTTGCACTCTCTCCCCATCTTTCTCTCAAGATAAATAAACTTAAAAGGAATTTTTTTCTCTAATCTTGTTTCCAAATTTAGATTTATTACCTAGTTCATCCCATAACTTCTATAAGCAGTAGATAATTATGAAAATAAATATTATATGTATTGTACTACAAATGAATTCCTCAGAATATCCAAAATGCCACTGATCAGGATGGATGTTTAAAATATAAAGACCAATAAGGAAGCATGACTCAATTAATTGTTTCAATTTACAACATGAAGGATGTAAGAAGTTCATGGGATAAATTCTGCATTCAAAAATATTTTAAGGAGCGCCTGGGTGGCTCAGTCCATTGGGCATTGGACCTCAGCTCAGGTTATGAACTCACAATTCATGGGTTCAAACCCCATGTCAGGCTCTGTGCTGACAGCTCAGAGCCTGGACCTGCTTTGGATTCTGTGTCTCCCTCTCTCTGTTCCTCCCCTACTTGCTCTCTCTCTCTCAAAAATAAATAAAGGCTAAAAAAATAAAAAATATTTTAAGTTTTAGGGGTGCCTGGGCAGCTAATCCAGTTAAGCATCCAACTCTTGACTTCAGCTTGGGTCTTGACCTCAGGGTTGTGAGTTAAAGCCCCATGTTGGTCTCCACACTGGGCATGGAGCCTACTTAAAAAAATTGGGGGGGAGGGGTGCCTGGGTGGTTCAGTGGGTTAAGTGTCCAACTTCAGCCTAGTTCATGATCTCATAGTTTGTGGGTTTGAGCCCCGCATCAGGATCTGTGCTGATAGTTCAGAGCCTGGAGCCTGCTTTGGCTTCTGTCTCCCCCTCTCTCCCTGCCCTCCTCCATTCATGCTCTGTCTCTCTCTGTCTCTTAAAAAATGAATAAGTGTTAAAAACATTTAAAAAATGTTTTTAAGTTTTACAGTGCTTTTCTAGATTTGTTCCCCACTGGCTATTTTGTATTCATCAGAATCATTTAATTTTCCTATGATTTTGCAGTATTTCTATCAATAATATGATTTTGCGATGGTAGATCAACAGCCTTATATGAGATATACTGTACAAGATATACTGTACATGTATATGATCCTATTCAAACTGACAACCTAGAGTCCAGGTCTTTGTTAAGCAGAGAAGACCTGGGCTGTGTGTAACATCCCCATCACCACATGGAACACAGAACAGAGTGGCAAAGCACAGAAGCTCACTATTCCTGGGGAGAAAAAGGTGGAGAATTCCAGTCTCCCAAATTGGCATCAATCTTAAGTGCAGTGTAAGTATTTTTTTAATAGTGCATTTATCATTTATTATTTATCCTGTTTATCTTTTATTTTTATGTTTTTTTATATTTTTTTTCTTTCATCTTTTATTGTGTAAGCATTTTTCTAAAATATTTTTTAAGCCAGGTTCTACATGCAATGCTTGGCAAAAATTTTCAGTAATGAGTGGTGAATATATCTTAAAAGATTATTAAGATCTTTTAGTTGTTAATTATCATAACTGCCAAGATTCATTTCAATTATTGTCGTTACTTTTAAAGTCTTATTCTATTATGCTTTTAACTCTGGACATAAAAATGAAAGTTTGATAACAGGACAAAAATGCTTACCTCCAAATGATCCCAAATGAAGTTTTTCTAAATGACATTAAGACCAAGCTATTTCACCTAAATTGATTATTCTTAGACTACATTAATAATGTATAACCAGGATAAATGTGTAATCAAAATAAATACTTTCATTAATATTAATTATTCATTCCAATGATAAATGTCTAAATAACCAAACCCTTATTTTTTTTTAAAGATTGAACTCAATGTTACCTCCTCTGTGTAGTTTTTCCTGAACCTATTCCCATCAAGCTAGTCTATTTAGAAATATTTATGATATCATATGTGCCCTAGGCCTTCAGAAAACATGTTCTAGGCACTAAGGATACCATGATCAAGACAGACAGGGTCTTTACCCTCAAAGAGCTTACATAAAATGATACAGTGGAGGGAACAGTCAGAAAATAAATAAGCAGAGAAGATTGTGAAAAGGGCAGTGAAGGAATTAAATAGGATGACATAATGGAAAAGGTGTCAGTGGATATTTTAAATCAGGTAATCAAAAAAAAGTCCTTTAAGGAAATGACATTTATGCTGAGATCTGAAGAATGATAAAGAAGAAATCTATGCAAAGAGCCAAAGAAAGAACATGCCAACCATGGAATAGCAGATGTAAAGATTCTGAGTATCCTAGAAATAGAAATAGAAATAGAAATAGAAATAGAAATCCACTGGAATTGGCAATAGTGAGATTATTTCTGGTAAATATGTTTTTTACCTATTTTGGTAATGGAGTGCTTTAACAGGGCTTTGCACTTTCTTCTTCTTCTTTTTTTTTTTTTTAATATTTTTATTTATTTCTAGGAGAGAGAGAGAGACAGTGTGAGCAGGGGAGGGTCAGAGAGAGAGGGAGTCACAGACTGAAACAGGCTCCAGGCTCTGAGCTGGCAGTCAGCACAGAGCCCGACGCGGGGCTCGAACCCACGAACCGCGAGATCATGACCCAAGCGAAAGTCGGACGCTTAACCGACTAAGCCACCCAGGCACCCCTGCACTTTTTTCTTCTAAGTGAAACCACATGAACCTCCTAGAAACTTTTTTCCATGTTATGGCTTCATAAAATTCTGGCTTTTCATGAAATACTTCTCCATACCTGCAATTTCAATATATAAACTAAATGATAAGAGAAGAGAAAATTAGAAGACTACCTGGATAGACTACCTTAAAAATAAAGTTACAGGGGACAGGTTTAATTTGTGAAGAAGGTGAACCAGAGGGACTGTGGTTCAAGTCACAGCAGAAGGTAATGCTGAAAATGAAGATTCAGTGAAAGACTGAACGAATACAGAAATGTTAGATGGCATATACTTTCTTCCTTCTTATACACACAAACCAGGCTTTACTCCCAAAACCCTTCCTAAATGGCTTAAAAACCTTGGGCAAGAGATTGGGAGATTCTTCTCTAAGGAAACTGACAAACCAAAAAGAAAACATCTCCCTATTCTGACATTTAAAGGTCCCTCAGGGAACATGCCAGCAGCATGCCAACTGCCCTACACTACAGTGAGACCAATTAATTAGTCAACAAGCCTGTCTCAATTGCTTTCATGAATGAAAAAGTAGCTCAGGATCACTGATTTGAAAAAGGCTTCTAAAATCAGAGAAGCACACCTGAGTGGCTCAGTTAAGCACCCGACTCTTGATTTTGGTTCAGGTCATCTCCTGGTTCATGAGTTCAAGCCCCATGTCAGGCTCTGCACTGACACACAGAGCCTACTTAGGATTCTCTCTCTCTCCCTCTCTATCCCTCCCACCACTCACACATGCACTCTCTCTCTCAAAATAAATAAACTTTAAAAAATTAAAAAAATAAAAGAGAAAGACAAATAAAAGTTTCTGGAGAAATAATATGGAAACAAAAAAAAATCCCACTCTAATTTAAATTTCTTAAGAGAAATAAAAAAGGATTCTCAAACCTTGAAACAAAAACAGGATTTTTTGAAAAAAAAAAAAAGGAAATTAAATGAATGAGAGGACTTCAAAATTTAGAATAAGATAGAAGAAATTAAATGTTCAATACAAAGATTAAATGATAAAATTGGATAAGTCTCCAAGAAAGAACAAAAGAGAAAGAATGGAAAATAAGCAAGTAAAAAAGAAATGTAGAGAATTAAATTCAGGAGATCCAAATGTGACTAATAAGAGTATAAGAATCAGAAAATTTTTAAAAATGGAAATAAAATTATATTTTAAAATGACATAGGGCCACATGGGTGGTTCAATCAGTTAAATGTTGGACTCTTGATCTCAGCTCAAGTCATAATCTCCCAGTTTGTGAGTTCAAGCCCCACGTGGGGCTGTGTACTGAGAGCACAGAGCCTCTTGGAGTTCTCTCTCCCTCTCTCTCTGCCCCTATCCCACTCATGCTCTCTCTCTCTCTCTCTCT